ATAATAAATCAGCATATTAGAATGATTTCTGAAGGATCATGTGACACTGAAGACTGGAGTAATGATGCTGAAAATTCAGCTTTGCATCACAGGAATAAACTAGATTTTAATGTATATTATTATTATTTTACATCATAATATTTCACAATATTAAATGTTTCCTGTATTTTTGGTCAAATAAATGCAGCCTTGATGAGCATAAGACACTCCTTTAAAAAAAACTAAAATCGTTCTGATCACATACATACATGCATACATACATACATACTCCCACTTAGGTTTCACAAAGTATGACACTCACCACACTTACAAGTGTGGATGCTTTCTGCTCGGGTGCGCTGCTCCTGTCTAACTCAAATGATTGTCTGCAAAGCAATAAATCAAAATGATTTGATGAAGTGTTGTCATGCTTCTGGTGATTTTTTTTGCACTGAATGAGTTTAGTCTTTTTGTTTAAAACACACAACTTATATCCAGTGCCGAAATAAGTTTAAGCTGAAGTACTAAAATTACTAAAACTATAAACTGTAATATTATGAATATAAACTGTAATAAAATTACTAAAACTAATACATATATATATATATATATATATATATATATATATATAAACTTCACTGCAGTGCTTATACAAACCCAATTCATGACACTAAACAAGAATTACTGCCAGTGCAATAAAGTGTAAAGCCTGAAGTTTATCCCACATGCACCAAAGTTCTTGACCGCCCTCTGGTGGCCGAGACTAAAACCACAGCTGAGGGTGCATCACCAAATAAAATGTCAATTAATATGAAAATCTAAAAATTAATCTTAAAATTATATTGGATTAACAGTTAGCTTCTTTTTTTAACACATAATTTAATTATTTTCATTAATTACAATTAGATTTTGTATTTATTTTTATTTGACCTACTGGCTTATATATCATCATCACTATGCAGACAGTCTGCATAGACTTCATAAAGTACAATCTCACAATATAATGCCTACTTGCGTGGCCTCTCTTTCATGTATTCATACGTTAAGCCTGAGCTAGTATGAGTAAGATGCTGCTCTGTGTTTTGTGACAGAGCCACATTCCTGCCTCATTCCTTACAAATGTCCATAGTAGAAAAACTTGACCGTGATGTCTAGGAATGTAGCTTACAGCAACAGAGTGGGTGACTTGATGCTACATACCTATAGGACATGTATAGTTGCCCGTTTCAGTTGACTTCATCTTTTGAGGCATGCTTTTTAGTAAATAACTTCCATCAAGGTCACTCAGAAACCACTCACTTTTTACATCTTGCACAGAGAGCAAGAAGTGCGATGCTAACGATGAAGAGGACGACTATGGAGAGAAATGCAGCCTCTGGTTGCTCTGTGACCGCCCAGCCTACCAGATCAGTGCTGATTGGTGCCATGATTGTGATACCTACAGGAAGACGGATCAGATATTAAATGCATTACAAGTACATATACACTGGAAAAAAAAAAAAAAAGGGGTAGAAACAATTTTCACTCAGAACCTGCTAGTAAATTTCATAAAGAATGGCAAAAGTGGCAAGTAACACGAAATTAAATATGAAATTCTTAAGTAGAAAAATCATTTTTGTAATACTACATTTACATTACTTGATCATTTCGCAGCTTGTGAAAATGGGTCCTCTACTCATTACAGTGGCAATTATTTTGTCATATGTATACAAAGTGTCTAATTATATAAGTCTTATCATAATGTATACATTTTAAGGAGTGGACATCATACCATTTTTAATTGTGCCTGATTGCTAGTGCTTTACACACAAAAGGCGGCATCTAGTTAAAAATAGATTCAGAATCCTACAAACCCAATTCATGACACTAAACAAGAATTACTGCCAGTGCAATAAAGTGTAAAGCCTGAAGTTTATCCCACATGCACCAAAGTTCTTGACCGCCCTCTGGTGGCCGAGACTAAAACCACAGCTGAGGGTGCATCACCAAATAAAATGTCAATTAATATGAAAATCTAAAAATTAATCTTAAAATTATATTGGATTAACAGTTAGCTTCTTTTTTTAACACATAATTTAATTATTTTCATTAATTACAATTAGATTTTGTATTTATTTTTATTTGACCTACTGGCTTATATATCATCATCACTATGCAGACAGTCTGCATAGACTTCATAAAGTACAATCTCACAATATAATGCCTACTTGCGTGGCCTCTCTTTCATGTATTCATACGTTAAGCCTGAGCTAGTATGAGTAAGATGCTGCTCTGTGTTTTGTGACAGAGCCACATTCCTGCCTCATTCCTTACAAATGTCCATAGTAGAAAAACTTGACCGTGATGTCTAGGAATGTAGCTTACAGCAACAGAGTGGGTGACTTGATGCTACATACCTATAGGACATGTATAGTTGCCCGTTTCAGTTGACTTCATCTTTTGAGGCATGCTTTTTAGTAAATAACTTCCATCAAGGTCACTCAGAAACCACTCACTTTTTACATCTTGCACAGAGAGCAAGAAGTGCGATGCTAACGATGAAGAGGACGACTATGGAGAGAAATGCAGCCTCTGGTTGCTCTGTGACCGCCCAGCCTACCAGATCAGTGCTGATTGGTGCCATGATTGTGATACCTACAGGAAGACGGATCAGATATTAAATGCATTACAAGTACATATACACTGGGAAAAAAAAAAAAAAGGTGTAGAAACAATTTTCACTCAGAACCTGCTAGTAAATTTCATAAAGAATGGCAAAAGTGGCAAGTAACACGAAATTAAATATGAAATTCTTAAGTAGAAAAATCATTTTTGTAATACTACATTTACATTACTTGGATCATTTCGCAGCTTGTGAAAATGGGTCCTCTACTCATTACAGTGGCAATTATTTTGTCATATGTATACAAAGCGTCTAATTATATAAGTCTTATCATAATGTATACATTTTAAGGAGTGGACATCATACCTGCCACACTTAAACAAGACAGTCTGCCTCCACTGCCAGAAGAGGGGGATCTAGAATCGGAGGAAACACTTGCTCAACAATGTCTACAAGTTAACCAACTCCAGTCAAATCCAGCTACTAATGGGCCTCCGAATCCACCAGCAGGCTCTCAGATTCCTAATGGTAAGTGACAGACTTGCTCAGACACATTTTCCAATAATTACCAAATATTTATAATATTAATAAAGCAGTTTAGAACCTTTTTGCTAAAATGGTTCGTGACGAGTACTGCATTAGGTTACTGTACTATGGAACAAACAAATAAATTGCAAGTCAACAAAACTATGAAATAAATAAAATAAAATAAAATATTTTTTCCCAAATTCAGCATTAACAAATAATATTTTTAAGTATATATATATATATATTTTTTTTTTTTCATACATTAATACATAAAAATTCCTCTCTTTCTACACTTTTTCACTTTCAGGACCAAGTCAGATTGGTGACGCGGCTCAAGTCAGACCTGCTGCTTGGACTACAGACCCTGAAGAGGCCACTCGCCTGCTGACGGAAAAAAGGAGACAAGCCCGACTCCAGAGAGAGAAGGAGGAAGAGGAACACAGACTGAAGTAGGAGATGGAGAGGTTTTTTTTGTTTTGTATTCTTACCTTTCCTCTATCAGTGAATCTTCCTCTATCTTTTGTGTCTTAGTAACTGCACATACAAAAAAAAATCAATGCTAAATTGTATTTGTAAAATGAAAAGGCCACAATTTAAAGTTGTTCTTTACTGAAGTAACTGGACAGTTAAATATGCTAAAGTTAAAATTCTGTATTTAAAAAAAACCAGTTTGAACTTCATGATGTAAGTGATATAAATCATGATATAAATTCTTAAAGTGCATTAGGCACCTAACTGAGCTTGTGTGGCTCATCTTTGCAGAAAGAGCAGAGAGGACCTGGCCCGTCGAAGAGTTGAAGAACGAGCCAGAGAGGAAGCAGAGGCTCTGAGACTGGAGGAGGAGAAGAGGAAGAGAGAGGAAGAAGAGCAATTGAAGGCTCAAGAGGAGAATGCTCGCAGACAGAAAGAGGAGGAAAACAGGCTTCAACAGCAGGTATTAAAAGCTTTTGGATGTTTAAATCCCTTTTTCAAACCTAGTTTAATATGTAAAAACAATTTCCAAATGGTTTACTTCTAGTGTAACCGAAAAAGTGAATACATTTTGAGCATCCCAACCAGCACTGGCTTGAGTTTGTCTGACCAATTGGGAAGTGCAGGAAACATGTTTGAAAAACAATCAATATTGTTGCAAGTGCATCTGATCCAAAAAATACACATGGGGCTTTAAATATAGCGATTCCTGTGCTCCTCTCATTGACATTACCATCTTACACGTCTTCAGACCATTTATTTTTTCTCCTTAAATACAGCTAGGATCATATTAAATGGTATATAAAATAAAAATATAAAAATTCCTATAATGCTCCATAATCTATTCTCAGAGAGAGCAAGAGGCTCGTCAGAGAGTGCTGGCAGAGAAGCAGAGACTGGAAAGAGAGAGTCACTTCCAGAGAGAGGAGGCCGAACGCCAAGAGAGGAAAAAGGTACAACTTAGAAACGGACTCACTTTCAAATATACCATTCTGAACTTTTCAAGTTTGGGTCAGTAAGTTTTTTTTTTTTTTTAAAGAAATTAAAGGGATAGTTCACCCAAAAATGGGCATCCAAGATGTAGGTGACTTTGTTTCTTCAGTAGAACACAAACTGAGATTTTTAACTCAAACCGTTGCAGTCTGTCAGTCGTATAATGTAAGTGGATGGGAATCACGGCTTTGAGAGTCATAAAACATACACAAACAAAACCAAATTAAACCCTGCGGCTCGTGACGATACATTGATGTGTAAAGACACAAAACGATCAGTCTGTGCAAGAAACTGAACAGTAATTATATCATTTTTTACCTCTGATTTTCACTGCAATGTCTGAACTGTCCTGAGCGCATTCGCGTCTTCTTCTTGCCTTACGGCAGATCACAGACTTATAAGTGCATTACCGCCACCTATCTCTCAAATGGACCATTGACACTATCTACAATCTCAATTAGGAGTGTCAATGGTCCATTTGAGAAATAGGTGGCGGTAATGCACTTATAAGTCTGCGATCTGCCGTAAAGCAAGAAGGCGCCTCATGCTCAGGCTGAAGAAGACGCGAACGCGCTCAGGACAGTAAAGACATTGCAGTGCATCAGAGATAAAAAATTATAGAAATACTGTTCAGTTTCTTGCACAGACCGATCGTTTTGTGTCTTTACACATCAATGTATCGTCACAAGCCGCAGGGTTTAATTTGGTTTTGTTTGTGTATGTTTTTATGACTCTCAAAGCCGTGATTTCCCATCCACTTACATTATACGACTGACAGACTGCAACGGTTTGAGTTAAAAATCTCAGTTTGTGTTCTATTGAAGAAACAGTCACCTACATATTGGATGCCCTGGGGGTAAGCAGATAAACATCAAATTTTCATTTTTGGGTGAACTGTCCCTTAAATACTTTTATTCAGAAAAGATGCATTAAATTGATTAAAAGTGACAAGACATTTATCATATTAAAAAATGCTGTTCTTTTGAAGTTTTTTTTTATCAAACCAATGTATCAGTTTCCACAAAAATATTAAGCATCACAACTGCTTTCAACTGTTAATAATAAGAATTGTTTCTTGAGCAGGAAATCAGCATATAAAAATGACCTCTGAAGGATCATGTGACACTAAAGACTGAAGTAACGGCTGCTGAAAAATCAGTTTTGCCATCATAGGAATAAATTACATTTTAAAATATATTAAAATAGAAAAAAAGTCATTTAAATTTAAAATAATTTCACAAGATTACTGTTTTACTGTATTTTAGATCAAATAAATGCAGCCCTGGTGAGCATAAGAAGCTTCTTTCAAAAACATTGAAAATCTTACCAACCCTAATGTATATTGTGATTTAAATTTTTCCCAAATCAGCGCCTGGAAGAAATCATGAAAAGAACAAGACAGACAGACTCTGATGACAAGGTAAGACTATAACTGGCAGGTGCTTTGTTCAAGCTTCATCAAAAGGGCCCTGCTCACTTTTTGTCCCCTTTAGAAAGCTGCATCAGTGAAGGACAACTTGCCTTGTGAAAACGTAAAGTCTGTAATCAGGCAACCAGATCCAGGAAAAATGCCAAAGCTGGAGCTGAGGGACGAGGAGGATATGCTTCCTACTGTGGCCTTCAAAGAGCGATGGTCCTTCCGCAGTCTTTCTGGCCTGGATGAGATACAAGCCCATCAGCAAACCGGTATGTGAATGCATTCATCTGACTTAATGTAAATCTGCATTTAAATCAAACATAAATTAATATATTAGGTTAATGTTACACAACTCTAGCTTAAATTTGATGATTCAAGGATTAGATTAAATGTTAGGCAAGGATGGCGTTTAACAAGTTATTTATTTAAATATAATTTAATGATATCTGAAGTATACGATTTAAAGCATGCCCAACTATTTTTATATTATAAATACATCTGATTTAAGTAAATTCATATTTAAAAGTTGCCATACAGTTGGTATATAACATGTTAATGTTTTCCCCCATGCTTCAGAGGTTATTTAACCCACGGACCTGTCATACGATGCCAAGACGTTCAGAGCAACTTCAGCAAGTTTGTCTTTCTGAAAAACACAAACATATGCACTTGATTTGCCTGCACTTTAATAAATCTGTAGTTTAATAAACAAGTCACACTTTTTACAGTTTCCTACTGCCCAGTTAAAATACCTAAATTACTGCTTGATTTGCTAAAGTGACATGTATTGTTCATGTATTGCTCAGTAGACATAACTTTGGGAATGTGGTAAGATTCACATAATAATAATATTAACAATGAAAATAATAATAATACTTAATGACAAAGGTAGACTACCCACCAAACAAAAACTTGAATTATTCATTTTTAAGCTTTAATTGAATATTTTAGCCAGTGTGTTTATGGTGTTATGGTTTCTCCTTGAATGTCTGAGTGACATAATAGTCATGGATTTATCAGTCTTTTTCATAAATATACACATGTAAACAGTAATTCATCTGCACGAATGCATACTGTACACTACTGTTTAAAAGTGTGGGGTCAGTATGATTTTTATTTAATAATTAATACTTTTATTCAGCAAGAATGCATTAAAATGATCAAAGGTGACAACAGAGACTTAAGATTGTTACAAAAATAATATTTAAATAAATGTTGTTCTTTTTGAATTTTCTAAGAATCCTAAAAAAATGTATTATAGTTGCCAAAAAAAATCAATTAAGCAGCAATATTTTCAACACTGATAATAATACATTTCTTGAACACCAAATCAGCATATTAGAATGATTTCTAATGCATCATGTGACATTGAAGACTGGAGTAATTACTGGTGAAAATTCAGCTTTGCATCACAGGAATAAATTACATTTTAAACTATTTAAAAAAAAAAGTATTTTAAAATCGTAATAACTTCACAATATTTTTTATTATTTTAATCAAATAGATGCAGCCTTAATGAGCATAAGAAAAAAAAAATCATACAAACCCCAAACTTTTTAATGGTAATGTCTGTGTATTTATCTTTAACCAGATATCTGTGCTAGAAGCCATTCATGTAATTAAGAATCTCTCTTTGCAATGCCGCTGTTTTGACTCATGAGGGTACACAAGTATACAGAGGTAATTTTCCATCTGTCCTTATTGCTAACCAGTGATTTTGCATCACAGTATTACACCAGAGAGGTCAGCATATTCATTTCCACAGTTTCTGTAGTTGGTTTTGCACTGCTGCTATTTAGCGGTTCCAAATAAAAACACACGCCCTTTTAATAAATGAAAACTACGTGCTCATCTGCCTTATAAACATTACTATAGTGTGCTGGTACCTGCTGACCTTGTGCAATGATAGAGGCTTATGCAAATATGGTGTAAAGATGTAAACCGTTTAATTCCTTTTTTTATCTGTGTAAGTAAATAAGCTTTAAAAAACAGACTGGTTGTTGGCGTTTATTTATTTAATTTTTTTTGTGTGTGAGTATTTCACATTCTACAAAAACGCTACTTAAAAAGGAATAACCATCACATTTCCCGCTGAGGTTTTGCATTAGCTGAAATTGTCTGAGAACTGAATGTTCTTGTACCCCGAAAACATTGTTACATGTTTGGTAAATGGGCTGCCAGTTAGGCAAATGGTGACAGAAACCTCAGATGAGAAGAATCCTAAATAACTGGAGCAAGTCTAGCAGAGAGGGCATGTGGTTTAGTACTGTTAATCAGTGTTGGGGGTAACTCATTACAAGTAACGCAAGTTACGTAATCAGATTACTTTTTTCAAGTAACTAGTAAAGTAACGCATTACTTTTTTAATTTACAAGAAAATATCCTAGAAATAATAGTAAAAAACAACAACATTAGAAAGAAATGTTTTAATAGCCTACTTGTATTATAGGCCTACTTTAATTGTAAAAAAAAAAGAAAAAGGTCAAATATTATTTTATTTCAAAAAAGTATTTGATTTTAATCAATATAGCAATCAATTTTAATAATATCACGTTGTACAATGTTACTGGTTATATAAAGACATCCGAGTCTCTGACAGGCCAAAATGCCCAATTTAACTTCATGTTAGATAATAATTTATCTAACTTATCTAATCGTTCGAAAAGATGGGATTTGTGCCTCTGAAGCTTAAAAAAACTAAATGGGACAACAAATTGTACCCAATTCCTGGAAAGTCACACATGCAACCATAACAGACTTTGAACCTCGGTGGATTGAATTTTGCAGCATTTACCAGATTTTGTGGGATTAACGGGAGTTTGGACAACATTTGGTTGGATCATCCCAGCAAAGCCGCATCAGATGACAAGTAATCAGCTCTGTTTGTGCATAATCATAGACACCGAACCTAAAGTAGTCTAAATATTAAAATTTCATTCTTGCCTTTTAACAATAAAAATAATAAATGTATAAAATTAGGATACAATAAAGCACACAATTAACAGACACGGCAACCAAATGATATATCATTTATTGCACTCCAGTGCATTTAAACATGAAAATTTAAACATTTTCATTACAAAAGCAGGACATGGATTCACTTGGTGACTTTTAAAAATGTTAAAGACACAAGTTACTTTCCATACACATTCTCATGCAGGAAGTTTGGCTTGTTTGCAATATTGGACATATTTTGCTTAGAAATGTATCAGGATGCATTAACATTCTGGTTTTGTCCAGAGTTCTCTTTTATTTGCTATGTTCATGCAGCCAGAGTGCTTGCTCTGTACGGTGGATATATCAGCTTACAATTTAGGAAAATATAAGAAACTTTTTACAACATATTACAGGCCCCACAGGCTCAAATTAAATCCTTCAGTTTTAGGATTTATATCAGTCCAGAGACCTAAAAACCACCACTAACACCTTCAATGTCCAAAATATTACAAATTCAGTCAATATAATGCATTTATAAATGTGTAAAATAACCAATAAATGTGTTAGAATTTTGTGTGCTCTTGCATTTTGTAGAATGCATCAAATATACTGTATGTGCAGGATTTATTACTAAAATAATAGGCAAATTCATAATTTGTTCACTGTGTTGGGCATAGGTTTCAGTATCTTTAACTGAATCTTTGGCAGTTCTTGTCTCAAGTTAAAAAAAAAAAAAGTGCTGTTGACGCCATAAAAGTGTCTCTTAACTTAGAGAGCCCTATATGATATTTCTTAATACCATAATACCCTGGCCTTATCTTATCAAAAATGTTAGTGGAATATAATCGAAGCATGTATTTGTGCTAAAAAGCCTTCACTTTTAATATATAATGCTAAAAATAAAGGGGTATATCTAATGTGATCACTTTTAAAAAAAGATACATTCAAAATCTTGTAGCATAACAGCTTTAAAGCATACCAAAAACCTTCGCTTACTTTATACAAACAGTTGCACAGTCTTACAGATGCTTTTTCTTCATATAGTGTATGCACAAACAACATAAAAGGCCAAAAAGCATGTTCTTCAGAAGCATTATAAATAATCTTGTGTGTTATTGTGCTTCATGTGCACCTAATGCATCCAAATATTACCCAGTTAAAAGTTGACTGGAAACAAAAACCCTCCAACCAAAAGAGAGAAAAAACACTTTTTCTTTGTGTGCAGATGTGAAAGGAAATTCGAAAGGCAACTGAGCTGATCGATATGGCCAATTTTCCTAACTTTTTTATTTATTCCTTAAAGAGCTGGGTCAGAGGTCCTGGTTCATGTTAAAGGGATAGTTCACTCAAAAATACTCAAACAAATAAATACATTCTGTCATCATTTACTCACCCTCATGTATGTTCCACTGAACATAAAAGGAAATCTTTATCAGAATGCCTGTACTTTAATTTTCGGGTGAACTATTCCTTAACTTAAAGGACGTGATCAGAGTTGTAGGTGTGAGCATTAATTGTCTTGTATGTTAATATTGCATTCATTCTTCTATGTTGAAGAGGAGTTTAGGAAGCGTCCTTGAGTCAATCTGAGGCAGGACTAGAAGGCAGTACACAAATAGCCAAGCAGCCAAAAGGATGTAGACAAGGTCATGCAAGGTTGTGCTTTCTGAGCTTGCAGCAATCTTGCTCTTCGAGCTGTAATGAAACAAAAGGGTGCACACAGTATTATTCAAGTCAAATTTATTACTATAGCTAGCAGATTAGAATTTCCCCCTTGTGCTTTAAATAAACTTTTAGTTCACACAACAATTTTAATTTGTTTAACATTAATTTACCTTCAGGTTATCCAATATGTAGATGAGTTTGTTTCTCCATCAGAATAAATGTAGCATTACATCACTTGCTCACCAACGCAGTGAATGGGTGCCGTCAGAATTGGAGATAAACAGTTGATACAAACATCACAAGTAATCCACATGACTCCAGCTTCTGACTAAAATACAGGATCTGACTATCCATAATATTACTTTCTCCAGTGAAAAAGTCTGAATCAGGAGAGAAATATGCATAAGCTCCATTTACAAGCAAAACAGTCCAAAACCGTTCTAAACAAATATCTGTGGATTTTGATGTGAGAGGACAACAGGGGATAGACTTTAGAGGAAGCATTATTATGGATCATGGACATGTATTTTGGCTGGAAGCAACATTTTAAAGTTAAAACATCTTAATGATAAATCTTACAAACGCAGCTTTATTACTTCACAAGACATTAAATGATGGACTGGAGTCATGTGGGTTACTTGCGATGTTTTTATCAGCTGTTTGGACTCTAGTTCTGACGGCACCCATTCACTGCAGAAGATCCACTGTGAGCAAATGATGTAATGCTAAATTTCTCCAAATCTGTTCTGATGAAGAAACAAACTCATCTAAATCTCGGATGGCCTGAGGGGTGAGTAAATTTTCAGCATATTTTCATTTTTGGGTGAACTATTCCTTTAAATACCCTATAAAATCAAAATGTTTTTTTTTTGGCATTTAGCCTGTCTATTAGCTATAAGCCTAATTTATATGCTAGTTCCCTCATATAAGTTGACTAAATAAATTTTTAGCTGATATACACATTTAAAATGGACAGTCTTTCTCTTCCAGGAAAACAAACCAAAAATATTGCTGAATCATCTTGCACTGTGGTTTCAATAAAAATTTCAACACTGGAGACAAGCACTTGTCAAGTGACTTGTCGAAATGAAAGTTAAGTCAGGTAAAATTCAAGAAAGCATCTTGTCATATAAAATTACAGTGCATTTCTGTGCAAAAACAATTTCAGGTACGCATGGGTGTGTCTCACATTGTGCTTCCGTCTTTCCTAGATTACTGTTGCTGCAAACGGTTTACTCAATTACAGTACATCACTGCAAGACTGCCATTGACAGCATAAAGCATTTTACATTTGAGGATTAAAAATGCCTTAGGGGTGTAAACACAACCCATGCCACACCCCCAAACACACTCCTATCACAGGTACAAAGATGACGCCCAGTCTGAACAACTCAAACACAAACACAAGGTCTACTAAAACAGGGATGGAAGTGTTTGCCCAAGCAAATTTTAATGCCCTTAAGTGCACTGAGTCATTTAAAA